ATGTCTTTGTCTATAACACAAAGATAAGCACCACCTGGGACAATCATGAAAGCAAAAGGCGATAATATATATTAGCAATGTGTCAGTGGGATTAAAATCACCCAGATTTTTTCCCCCAGCTTTTCACAACTGGCTTCCCTTTCAGACAGTCTGACATCTGAGAGGAGTTGTATACTAAGTTCCCCACCTTACTGTGACATCCTTAGCCTCACCCTTCACTGGCCCAGAACACCACCCCTCAAGGCCTGCACTGGATATAACAGGAAGGCCACTGCCCTCCGCTGTTTACACCTCTCACTGGAAGGCTGGAAGAGGTGTTCTTTCCCCTACATCTGCCTTTGGAAGTTCACAGGAGGCATCTCAGAGACATTATTCTGTTTAAGCCAAGAACTGAGATTGGCTGAGGGGGAAAAGCGGCCTTAGTGTGACTGGGACAGTAACCCACACCGAGCCCAGGGTGTGAGAAAAGGTGAGAGATCGGCGGGGAAGGTCTGGACACCCGAAGGTCCTCGTGTCCCTGCGCGTGAGTGGATGCTGCCCACATCCGGCCAGCCTCTGCCATGCCTTAGGGCCAGCACACAGAGGCCACCGTCCAGACCAGCGCCTCTCCCTCCCTCCTATCCGCCTGCACACCAGCTGCTGGGCACTCTCTCAGCACTATGCCCTCTTCCATCACGGCCTGTGTCACAGTTGTGGTTATATAATTATTTGTGTGATTATGTGATTAATAATCTGCATCCCCCGCTAGACTACATGATAAATTCAGCCCGCGTAAAACACATGTCTGCTTTATTCAGCTCTGCATCCCTGGGCCCGCCGAGTATAGCATCTGCCTGAAATATATAGATACACTTTATTAAATGAACAAATGAAAGCTGGCACTAAGAAGCCAAGGAAGAATCCTGAGCAGGGGAATGGCAATCAGAGATGACAGCTGAACAAACCACTCTGGCAGCGAAGTGAAGATCACATTGGAAGGGGAAGACTAGAGCCTGGACACAGGTGAGGACACTAGTGAAAAATGTTTCCAGAAAAGTGATGAAAGACTTAAAAACGAGGGCAGCCTGCGTCTAGGCAGTGATGAGAAGGATGTAACGGAGGAGACACGCTTGGGAAGTAGAATCCAGAAGCTCAAAGCACAGGGCGCAAAGCACAGACAGGAATCTGAAATGACTCTAGTGGAGAGTGGGAGCAGGTGGGGCACTGACTCACACCAGGAACACAGGGCGGCAACAAACCTTTCCTGAACATCTTTTCTGGAGTGGAAGATCTGCCTCTAGCTCTGGGATTCTATAAATGAGAAGAGATTTCTATCTAACCCATTGGGATAAAATGGGTATGGTATCCATTAATGGGCAGCAAACTACAGTTCAGTTCTTTCACATTTCTTCACCAGGACATTTCTTGGGTACACCGACTACGTATGAGGCATAACCCTGGTCTGGGGATATGGCAATCAAAGAAGAGGCATCTCTGCCTCGAAGGAGCTGACAGTCTTCTGGGTGTGAGACAGGTAACTGCATGACAGTTACTGCATGAGAAACTGAGGCCAGTGAGGCTATGATTTGACCAGTTACATGTCCTGTAACCTGCATTTCTGGAGCACTGATTTTATAACTCCCATCACATTTCAGGCCAACATGTAGTTGAGGGCTTACGTGCTGGGACATTCAGACGGACACCCCTCCTCCCAATCTCGCTTTGAGCCTGGAGACACTCCAGAACTGAAAACAACATGGTGCATGGGCAGCCAGTGCCCTCCAACTCTGAAGTCGCTGCTGTGGTCACAGGGCAGCAGTCTGGGGAATAGACACAACCAGGAAGGAGGGGGAGAGAGGCCTGCCTGGTCAGCAAAGAGCCTACCTGAGCAGAGGCCAAACGCTGCAGGTGCCAAAGTAGAATCTCAGGAGGCTCTGGAAGTAACAGCAGAGAAATAAACATTCAGGGAAGGTAGAGCAGGAATCCTCTGTAATCAGGTTCCTCCCCTTCCACCAGCAAGAAATGGTTCCCCACGGGGTGGAAGGCCTCAACCCAAAGCAGATATACAGGAAAACAAGATGAGGAAATGATCTGCAGTGAGAATTACACAGCTCCAGATTATCCAGAGCAGACAACGCATTTCCAGCACTCACTCATGAGGTAATTAAATCTGAGAGGCTTTATACTGGCCCTTCCCAAACTAAAACAAAATACCAAAACATGTCCTCCCCCTTCAACCCCAAACCTACTTTCCACAGCCTTAAAAAAACAAAAACAGCTGCACAGTCTCTACCTCCTCAGCTTCCTTTCACCCACTTGGATCTAAATTATTTCTCCACCATCTGACCTTGTCTTTTTAACCTCCCTAAACCCTTGGAGCCCTTTCCCCTTTTCTCTGCCTGGAAACTCTACCTTGTCCAAGACTGGTTCAACCATCGCCTTCTCTGTGAGGCATTCCCCAGTCAAACTGCCCAGGGGTTTTGCCTATGCCTCATCACAGCATTTGATCCTACTGTCCTTGTTTATCTCAGTGTAAATATAATTCACAATAGCCTGAAAGACAGGAACTCATTTTTATTCACTTTTCTATTGCCACCCTCTAACCCAGGGCCCCCAAAGTAGACAAAGGCTCCATGAATAAATGATCAGAAGTTTAGTTTACCTTCAAAACTGCTACAAACCACTCAACTCTTCCACCTAAATTGCTCTAAGAATAGACTTGCATACACACACACACTGGGAAGTATCTATATTCTGAATAATCAGTTTTCTTATAACAGCATCTTGGCTAGAAACTCTAAATTTTGGTGGTTAAGCAAACAGCTGACATGCAGTAAAATCAATTCTTTAGAGTTCCTCATCTACGTTTCTAATTCCTAAAATTCTGACCATGTGGAAAGTGCACCTTTTTCCTGGGCAGTGTAATCAATTCTTAGGCTCAGAAAACCTGTTTCAGAGAAGCAACCAAGCCTTATTTATGACAATGCTTAGAACCTGGGCTGCTCAATAGCTCCAAAAATATTTTTTTCCTTCTATTTAGTTTCACTTTCTATATGAAACACCCATAGTAAAGTTTAGACACACAATATTTCCTGCAACCAGTAAAAATACCTGAAAGCCCTTCAATTTTAATACAGACATTCAAAAGCCTTCATTTTAAGATTATGGGATTACATTTGAACCTTAACGGCCCAATGTTTACTTCTGTTCTAGAAAAACAAAAATTACGTAACTTCTCAGTCCTTGTATGTTTTCTACAAATGTATCTTACTGCAATAACACAGAAAAACTTACTCAGAAGAGCAGAGAAAAAAGGAAAAAAAAAGTGAAAGTAACTTTTCTATACTAAAGAAAACAAACAAACAAAAAAAACAAAACCTGATTGTGCAAATTAAAAAAAAAAAAATAGAAAGGTGGCAAAGTTCCCTGACAGGAAAATCTTAAAGATGGAGAAATAAGAAAAGTTAACTCCATGCACCTGACTTTCAATTACTATACTGCTTCAGTAAGTGACTTGCCTCAATAAGTGACCTTGGGAATGTCATTTCTCTCATTTTTAGTTCTGTAAAATGGGAATGTCATCTGTTTTCCTACTAGAGACAATTAGTCGAATAAAAGAACCAATGTGATTTTTTTTTTAAGAAACTTGTCTAATTAGTTTGCTTTAATCACCACTAGTACAGTACATTCCTCTTCAGGAATCCAATTCCAAGAAAAATATTTAAGCAGACGTTCAGGACAGATTTCCTTAAGGGAATGATTTTATAAATCTGGAGAGCAATGTAACAAGATTATAAATTAACAAATTGATTACATAAGCCTTGACAACCTCAGGCTTTAAAGTACACTGATACACATTCTGATAAATTAGACTGATTTGGGACTAGCGCCTCAACCCCATACAAGAAACCCAAACTGAGGCATTTGGTGTTTGATAGGAATCAGGTGGAATCTAATCAAGACGCGGAACATTTGCAGTTCCATTACCTGCTAGCCACGCTTCACCTTCCACCATAAAACGTGAAACGCATTAAGTCAGCTTTACCACCTGCTCCTAAGATTGTGAAGATGTACTCAATTAAATGGAAGGGGGGGAAATAACTAGATAATGTGAAAAATCCTATACCCTTAGACGTCCAGAAGCTTTAGAATCCTACTGCCAAATGCCCCCTCACCCCTCCAAATACTGGACTTGAACCGAACTCACTATACAGCTATCGAATTTTACCTGACCCAACTGTTAAGAACACCACAGCTCCAGGAACCCCACTCAGGATAAAAGGCTGTCACTTTCCTGGATCCCAAGTCCAAGCAAACGGAAGGAAGGGTTTTGTAAAACGGTCCAGAAAGGAATCAACAGGCGATGACTATGGAAAAGAAGGGAGGTTTTCCAATCAAAAATTCTAGCTGTCCCTCGGGAACGGCACTGCTCCTCCTTCCTTACCCCGATGCCCTTTCTCTACAGACAATATCCCCATTCTATTGTACGGCTGCAGTTTTAGCAAGAAATCCCCTTGCTGCGCCAGATCTCCAGATTCTTTTGAAAAAGAAAAACACCTTTAGTGAGGAAAACACCGTACGAGAGAACCTGGGCGCGGGGAGCCGCGGGCGCCGCACTCGGCCCGCTCCGGGGCGGGGCGCGGGGATGCGGGCGCCTCCCGAGGTGCCGCAATGCGCCCAGCCCGGCAACCGCTGAGGCCACTCGGCGGCGGAGGCCAGCCGGTCCCCCTCCCACGGCTGCCGCTCCGGCTGCACTGCACGCTCGCCCCTACCTCAGCAAGCAGGCGGGCTTCCGTCCGCAGCGGCCGCGGCGCCGACAACTCCCTCCCGGCCGCCGAATCCCCGCACCCAGCACTAATCATAATACCAAGCGGGCAGGCGGCCGTGGGGAGGGGGTGGGGGACCGAAATGCGCCTGCGCGGGACGCGCGTCATTGTGACGCAGGCGCCGGGGCGGGGCCGCGGCGAGGGCGGGGCGGGGCGCACCTGCGGGCTCCAGCGTGCGAGCTGCTGCAGGGCATCCTGGCAGCGCCCCGACCCCAGCGAGTCTGGGCTGCGGCTGGCGGTACGAAGCGGGCGAGGCGCCCGAGCAAGAGCAAGCTGATGAAGGAGGAAGCACTAGGGACATGGCACAATGGCCCAGAAAAGTAGCCGAGCCGTGGCGGAAATCGGAGGGAAGGAACCGGGTCCTCATAGGACCCTGCGTCTGGGGGCGGGGGTCTGAGGGCACCAGGCACTTCACCCTTCTAAACGTTCACCCCCATCTCCCGCCCAGGTTTAAACAAAGAGCGGGAAAAAAATATACATTCACGAATATACGTACATATTTTTTTTTTCTTTACAGTTTCTTCTCTGGGAACCCAATTAGAAGGAATTGTTTTGATTTTGTTGCTATTTTTTAAAAAGAGAAAAGCTTAGCATCTGAACACAGCGCTGGCTTTAAAGGTCAGTAAGAGACCCTTGCCTGGCCAGGGTGCCTCCTCTGGAAAAGCGTGGAAAGGCGAAAGGTCATGAGAAGTATTAAAGCATGTCAAGTCAGGGACTCAGAACATGCCAGGCATTAACCGTGCCCCGGATGGTTCAGCGGCATGGTCACCTGGCATGTGGCTCCCAAATGGAGCTTAGTGATGGCCAGAGTGGAGAGTTTGGGAGGGTGGGAGAGAAGGGCAGGCGCTCCCATCTCCTATCCTCGGAAGCTTGGCGCACCATGGAGATTAGCTTCCCTTGCTTTCTGGAAATAAGTGACACGCCAGATGCCAGATTCTCCAACCTGCTTTTCCATTTCGGATTCTCCCAGCCCTCCACCCCTCCCCCAAGAGAAGACCCCTAGCAAAAAAGGGCACAAACTGCTTCGTAGAGAGCGGGGGAGGGGTGAGCTGTTTAGATGCTCCGAATGTGATTAAATCGACTGGAGGGAAAAAAGAAATCTAGATGGCTTGAGCAATTGTCTCTGCCGACCTGCAAACATCAGAAGCCTGTTTTTTTTTTCCAGACTGTCGCCTGGGCATCTATTTTGCATATCCGAAGATAACTGGAAAGCAAGAGTGGGTTGTTGGGAGGTACAAACACTCAGAGTAATTAGGGAAGGTTAACGTTAAGGGGGGCTTCCCAGGTGGCACTAGTGCTAAAGAACCCGCCTGCCAATGCAGGAGACGCAGTCCAGGAAGAGACGCAGGTTCGATCCCTGGGTCAGGAAGGGAGAAGGGAATGGCAACCCACTCCAATACCCTTGCCTGGGGAATCCCAAGGACAGAGGAGCTTGGAGGGCTACAGTCCATGGGGTTGTCCAGGGTGGAACGGACTCTGCTCTGTGATGACATAAATGTGAAGGAAATCCAAAAAGAGGGAATATATGTATAAATATAGCTGATTCACTTTGCTGTATAACAGAAACACAACACTGTAAAGCAACTATACGCCAATTTTTTTAAAAAGCAAAAATAAAATAATTAGAACATTATTTATGATGTTATGATGTTATATAAAAGGTATCTAATAAAGGCTTATTATTATTTTAAAAAAGGGGGGGGTGTTAAAAGAGGACTCCAAGTTACGATAACACTCTGGCATGGGGTGATGTCACTGGCTGGGAAAAGCCTTGGGCTATGGGCCTCTGCCCCTTGGGGCTGAGTCGAGGCCCCAACCCTGGGATAACACTGGCTTACAAAGACCTTCAAAGAATCATCTCACTTTGACACACATTCTAACTCTAGCAGTATGTCCAGCAGGAGCTTGTGGAATTCATTCCTTTGTTGCTGAAAAACAGTGGTGAGGCCTTGCACTTTTCTCCTTAGGAAGGTATCACTATTCAGGGAACCCCACAGCCAAGTAAAGGGGAAAAAATACCATTCTAATGGTCTCCCAAGGGAATGCCAGTGGTTGAAGACCACCACCACCAGGTCTGTAGCCCTGAGACAGAACAGTCATCACAAAACAATGTCTTAATAGATAAGCCCTTAGAAAATATGTAACTCAGGTTTTGAATAAATTCTATAAGGAAAATGGGACACAAGAATAGAAAAACAATTTTTAAAAAAAGGAACAGAATAATACCTTGGTTTAAATAAAGTGGGCTTGAATTCTCTTCCAGAGAAAGGGCTGCAGTCTTGGCCACTTGGTGAATCACTTATTCATCTCTGGTGTTTCTTGGGAAGCTGGAGTGCTGCTGGCAAGAACATGACCCATTTTCAGTTCCACACCATCAATGTGGTAACATGATCTGATTATGCTTAGGCAATATTTTAAAATATTCAAGTATAAATTAATATATGATTACTTAACTTTGAATTTAAGCAAATGTGTTCATTGTTAATGAGAACCCCCTTCTTCAGTCTGCCCTGGGGCTTTCCCTAACCCAGACTGCTTTTTTAATGTTAGGTCTTTTTATGGACCTGTAAGAAGCTTTAATTAGATATACAGCACTCCACACAAATGACAAGATGGAGCATGCGGGCTTGGATTACATTCTCTGTGATTCAGATCTCCGAAATAACATAATGCCACTGATTTAGGGAAGTTGCTGTTTATTGGAAGGCAACCAGGGAGATGCTACAAATTAGGTTAAGATGTGAAAAGCAAGCCTATTCATGAAAGAACTGCCATTTTCATCTTGGGACTACCCCCCTTAAAGCAGCATGTATAACAAGGTTATATCGTCTCTAGATATTGTTAATTTTCATAATATAAAAACATTTCAAATACATTGAAAACAACAGAGACTGAGGATTCATGTATGGTTCAGTTTTGAGTTGTGACATTTAATTTTATGATTTCCTTTTGCGTATTTAATTAGTCATTTTGTACATTGATACTTGTGCATGTCTGAATCCTGGCTTCATTCCAGTAGGACCAAAATAATACTTCACTGGAATGGCCTGAAGAGTTTCTCAAAGAGTTTCCCTCACTACCCACTTGGCATCCGTTAGCATCCCTAATTCTTTTAGCTCAGATGTTTGTTAAGGCCTGTGCATATGTGTACATGCGTGTGTGTGTATGTGCATGTGTAATATATTCTTGACAGTTGCAAGGAAGGACTGAAAATGCCAGCCCTTAACTCTGCTTCTTTGCAACCTGTGAACTGGGAAACAAGGCAGACACTGCCTGGTATTGACCACCTGCCACACCACTAAGAGTTATATGCCCTTGTGGGAAGACTGTTTAACTTTCCATCTGTTTCCTCTGTAAAATGGGAAAGATGGTGATGATAATGATACCTTTCTTATAAGGCAGGTGTAGGGCAGCTGTTCTCCAAGTGTGCCTCCTGGACCAGCAGCAGCAGGTTCTCCTGGGAACTAGACTGAAATGCAAATTCTCCAGCTCTACTCCAGACCTCCTAAATTTGAAAACTCGGTGGTTCCTCTGCTTTAAGAAGACTTCCAAGTGAATGTAACATAGGTGAGAGTCTGAGAACCACTATAGATGGGATTAAGGGGGTTTATGTATGTTAGTTGCCCAGTCATGTCCAACTCTTTGAGATACCATGGACTGTAGCCCACCAGGCTCCGCTCTCCATGGAATTCTCCAGGCAAGAATACTGGAGGATCTTCCCAACCCAGGGATCAAACCCAGGTCTCCTGCATTGCAGGCAGATTCTTTTCCTTTCTGAGCCAGCAGGGAAGTTTTAAAACAGTGCTGGCACGTGCTAAGTAGTATATTAGTGGATATTTTTTTTAATCAGTGGAATATAATGTTGCCAAGATACAGTTTAATTCAGGCCACAGGAAGGATGCCCATATTCCTCCAAGAAATAAATTCTTAATGCTTAATCTTTTGTCCAAAGACTTTTAACACTGCCTGCCAAACCCTTCATGATCTGGCCCCTGCCTTTTCCTGCTCTTTATCTCCAGGTAAACTGTATCTGTGACCTTCCCAGTTTTCAAAAGGGAAATGCTTTCTCATACCTCCAAGCCTTTGCCCATTCTGTTCCCTCTGCCTGGAAATGTCACCCACCCCTTTTCTCCACTTCCTATACCTGGCAATCTCCTGAATTCCTACTTACCTTTCAAAACCTCACTTGAGTGTCCAGGCTCATCTGTGGCACCCCCAATCCTGCTCAGTCAGAGCCAGGCCTTCTCTGAACCCATACCTCCTTGCACATGAATATTTATTATTATAGGGTTTCATAACTGCTAACTGTTCCATTTTCTCCCTTTGGATCTCAAAGGAGATCCTTGTCCAGGAGGACAAGGATTTTATTTTATTCAAATTTCTATTCATGCAGCTTAGCACTAATATAGCAAGTAGGCAGCCCAAGGGCTTAAACTTGGGGCATTTTTTTCCATAGAGGTTCTTTAAGAATTTGAACTAGGTGAGAATATTGTTTTTTGGGTTTTTTTGTGTGTGGGGCTGTATCTTGTGGCTTGTGGGATCTTAGTTCCCCAACCAGGAATTGAACCCAGGCCATTAGCAGTGAAACCACAGAGTCTTAATTACTGGACCACCAAGGAATTCCCAAAAACTTTTTAAAATTGGAAGATTTAATTTTTTAAATAGTTTTACTGAAGTATGATCTGCATACCATAAAGTTCACCATTAATACATCGTTATTCAACGCGTGTGTGTGTGCGTGCTCAGGTGCTCAGTTCAGTTCCGTTGCTCAGTCATGTCCAACTCTTTCTGACCCTATGGACCGCAGCACGCCAGGCTTCCCTGTCCATCACCAACTCCTGGAGCCTACTCAAACTCATGTCCATTGAGTCGGTAATGCCATCCAACCATCTCATCCTCTGTCATCCCCTCTCCTCCTGCCTTCAATCTTTCCCAGCATCAGGTTCTTTTCCAGTGAGTCAGTTCTTCACATCAGGTGGCCAAAGTATTATAGTTTCAGCTTCAGCATCAGTCCTTCCAATGAATATTCAGGACTTATTTCCTTGAGGACGGACTGGTTGGATCTCCTTGCAGTCCAAGGGACTCTCAAGAGTCTTCTCCAACACCACAGTTCAAAGGCATCAATTCTTCGGCACTCAACTCTCTTTACGGTCCAACTCTCACATCCATACATGACTACTGGAAAAACCATAGCTTTGACTAGACGGACCTTTGTTGGCAAAGTAATGTCTCTGCTTTTTAATATGCTGTCTAGGTTGGTCATAACTTTTCTTCCAAGGAGCAGGCGTCTTTTAATTTCATGGCTGCAATCACCATCTGCAGTGATTTTGGAGCCCAAGGAAATAAAATCTGTCACTGTTTCCATTATATCCCCATCTACTTGCCATGAAGTGATGGGACCAGATGCCATGATCTTAGTTTTCTGAATGTTAAGGTTTAAGCCAACTTTTTCACTCTCCTCTTTCATTTTCATCAAGAGGCTCTTTAGTAGTTCTTCGCTCTCTGCCATAAGGGTGTTGTCACCTGCATATCTGAGGTTATTGATATTTCTCCCAGAAAGCTTGATTCCAGCTTGTGCTTCAGCCAGCCCAGTGTTTCTCATGAGGTACTCTGCATATAAGTTAAATAAGCAGGGTGAAAATATACAGCCTTGACATACTCCTTTCCCGATTTGGAACCAGTCTGTTCTTCCATGTCCTGTTCTAACTGTTGCTTCTTGACCTGCATACATACAGATTTCTCAGGAGTAGGTCAGGTGGTCTGGTATTCCCATCTCTTTAAGAATTTTCCACAGTTTGCTGTGATCCACACAGTCAAAGGCTCTGGTGTAGTCAATAAAGCAGAAGTAGATGTTTTTCTGGAATTCTCTTGCTTTTTTGATGATCCAATGGATGTTGGCAATTTGATCTCTGGTTCCTCTGCCTTTTCTAAATCCATCTTGAACAAACATCTGGAAGTTCACGGTTCACATACTATTGAAACGTGACCTGGAGAATTTTGAGCATTACAGTTGCTCAGTCGTATCCAAATCTTTGCAATCCTGTAGACGATAGCCCAGCAGGCTCCTCTGTCCATGGGATTCTCCAGGCAAGAATACTGGAGTGGGTTGCCATTTCCTCCTCCAGGTAATTCAATGATTTTTAGTAAATTTAAAAAGTTATGAAACTATCACCTGATCTGCCCCTGATAGCTTATGGTGAATGATGTCAGATTCGTGATCTCCGAAGAAGATATAGCTTCTGGACCAGGGGCCAGACTTGATCACTCAAGAGCTTTTTATGTAGCAGAGCTTTATTAAAGTATAAAAGGGAACAAAGAAAGCTTCTGACATAGACATCAGAAGGGGGACAGAGAGTGCCCCCACTCACTAGTCTTAGCAAGGCCTGGCAACCCACTCCAGTACTCTTGCCTGGAAAATCCCATAAGCGGAAAAGCCTGGTAGGCTGCAGTCCATGGGGTTGCGAAGAGTCGGACACAACTGAGCGACTTCACTTTCACTTTTCACTTTCATGCTCTGGAGAAGAAAATGGCAACCCACTCCAGTGTTCTTGCCTGGAGAATCCCAGGGATGGTCGGCCTGGCGGGCTGCCGTCTATGGGGTCGCACAGAGTCGGACTTAGCAGCAGCAGCAGCAGCAGCAGCATATACTTTTACTTTTATTCCCACAACATACACCTTAAATTAACAAGATTAGAACTAACAATAGAAAGATCTTGCCAGACCCACTCCCACAATATACCTCTTAAGATATCAAGATTAGTCAGAAGGTTCTTGTTAAGGAGAAACATGTCTTCGAGTAAGATACACTGTTATATTGACTAAGACAAAGCAATGTAGAAAAAAAGTCTGTCCTTTTCTCCTTGATGCCCCAGACCCCTTTCTCCTTCTCTAGGGCTCCGGACCCCTTTCTCCTCCTTGGGGACCCTGGACTTCTTATCAACCTACCTAGGAATTGACTCTCACCCCAGTATTTCCATCACTCCCCAAAAGTTTTTCTCTGTCCATGTACAGTCAGTCACAATCCAATTTCCATCTCTTGGCCACCAATGATTTGTTTTTCATCCTTACAGATTTGCCTTTTCTACAAAGTCACTTAAATGGAATCACAGTCTTCAGTGTCTGGCTTCTTTCACTGAGCATGACGTTTATCTATGTTGTAGCTATCTAAACAGTTCCTTTTTTAATTGCTGAATAGTATTCCATTATATATACTAGATTTTCTTTATCCATTTACCAGGTGATGAACATTTCATTTATTTTCAGATTTTTGCTATTATGGATGATGTTGTGAAAATTTACATAAACTCTCAATGGGGATATCCTGTCATTTTTCTAGGGTACTGTACGATGAAATTGTTGGGTCATGTTTTAACTGTTATGTTTAACAATGTAAGGAACTGACAAATTGTTTTCTGAAGTGACTGTACCACGTTTTACATCCCCAGCAGCAACGTATGAGGGTTTTTATTTCTCCTCATCTGTACCAACACTTGGCATCATTAGACTTTCAGATGATCTTTATTCTAATAAATGTATAGTGGTATCTCCTGTGATTTTAATTTGCATTTCCCTAATGACTAGTGATGTTGATCATTTTTTTATATTATTTTTAGCCACACAAATATCTTCTTTGGTGAAGCATCTATTCAAAACTGTTGCCAATTTTTAACTGGGTCATTTGCCTTATTGAGTTATAAAAATTTTTTATCTGTTTCAGATACAGGTCCTTAATACGATATATGATTTGCAAGTATTTTCTCCCAGGCTGTGGCATGTATTTTCTTCTTTTAAATGATATCTTTGGAAATGCCAAGATTTTTTATTTCAATGAATTACAATTTGGAAAATTTTTCTTTTATGAATTGTGTTTTTGGTATCATATCTAAGAAATTTTTGCCTGAATCAAAGTCACAAAGATTTTTTTCCTGTGGGTTTTTTTTTTCAGGTTTTATAGTTTTCAATTTAACATTTAATCTGTAACTGATTTTGAATTAATTTTTACATGATATAAAATTTTAAATTTATTTATCTTTTTGTATATGGATAGCCAATTGTCCCCAAACCATTCCATTTGTTTAAAAGAATATCTTTTCCTAGTTTAATTCCCTTGGCACTTCTGTTGAAAATCAATTTACCACAAACATAAGAATATTCTAGACTTTCTATTGGTTTCCATGGATGTATATCTATCATTACACCATTGTAACACAGTCTTGACAACTATTATTTTATAATAAGTTTTGAAAATGAGTAAAACAGTACCCCAACTGTGGTGTTGATTTTCAAAATTGTTTTGCTATTCTGGTGTATTGCATTTCCATATAAATCATACCATCAGCTTGTCAATTCCTACCACCAAAAAACTGGTTTGGGACTTTGATTTGAATTGTATATTTAATTCAGTTTGAGGAGAGCTGCCATTTTAACAGTAGTGACTCTTTCAATTGATGAAAATGGTATATATCCCCATTTATTTAGATCTTTTAAAGTTTAGTGAGCAGTGTTTTATAATCTTTAGCTCTCACACATCTTTTATTATATTTCTGTTAAGTATTTGATTCCTTTAAGTGCTATATTGTAAACGGCATTGTTGTTCTTCATTCTTAGATTTTCCGTTATCAGTATGTAGAAATATTGGGTTTTGTATCCTCTGACATTCTCATTTATTAGTTTTAATTGGTTTTTAAGATTCACTAGGATTTTCCAGATACAGGATCAAATCATATGCAAACAAACACAGTTTTGCATAATATTTCTTCATCTTCAACCTGGATACCTTTCATCTATTTTCCTTATCTTCTTGATGGGCTAGAACATCCAGTATGCTATTAAACAGAAGTATTGAGAATGGACATCCTTGCTTTCTTCTTACAATTATGGAAGACACCTTTAGTATTATCGCTAGTAAGTCTGATGTTTGCTGTAGGTTTTTTTCTTAGACTCTTCTTTACCTGCCTGAAGAAATTCCCTTATATTTTGAGTTTGAGAGTTTTATCATGAATAAGTGTTGAATTCTGGCAACTGCTTTTTCTGCATATATTAACATGACCAAGTATGTTCTGTCCTTTATTATATTAATATGACATACTGCCTTAATTTTCCAGATGCTAAATCTACCTGGTTAAAAGACATTTGCTCCTTGGAAGAAAAGCTATGACCAACCTCGACAGCATATTAAAAAGCAGAGACGTTACTTTGCCGACAAAGGTCCATCTAGTCAAAGCTGTGGTTTTTCCAGTAGTCATGTATGGATGTGAGAGTTGTACCATAAAGAAAGCTGAGCATAAAGGAATTGATGCTTTTGAACTGTGGTGTTGGAGAAGACTTTTGAGAGTCCCCTGGATGCAAGGAGATCCAACCAGTCCATCCTAAAGGAAATCAACCCTGAATATTCATTAGAAGGACTTTTGCTGAAGCTGAAACTCCAATACTTGGGCCACCTGATGCAAAGAGCTGACTCATTAGAGAAGACCCTGATGCTGGGAAAGATTGAAGGCAGGAGGAGAAGGGGACAATAGAGGATGAGATGGTTGGATGGTATCACTACTCAACGGACATGAGTTTGAGCAAGCTCTGAGAGATGGTAAAGGTCAGGGAAGCCTGGAGTGCTGCAGTCCATGGGATCGCAAAGAGTCAGACACAACTGAGCGACTGAACAAATTCCCAAGATAAATCTCACTGGGTCATTTTTTGTTACTGGATTTGATTTTTGTGTTTACACTCATATGGTACATTGTCATGTCTTTGGTCTCAGTGAACTTGGAAGCGGATACATTTCCAGAGCCTGTAGATAAGAGCCTTGTCCAGCTAACACCTTAATTTGAGCCTGTGAGACACTAAGCCGAGAACCCAGTCAAGTCTACCTGGACTTCTGACTGACACACCTCTTGAGTTCTAAGCTGCGAAGTTTCTGGTAATTTGTTACATACCAATAGAAAACTAATACACCAACTTCATCCAGTTTCCCTCTGCTATAGAAGACCTGCCTCATGGCAGAGTTAATTTTGAAAAAATAAAAATAAATCAAGATTTCTGGCTTCTCTTGAAAGAATGGGAAGACTCTGCAATTTGAGATTTGAATTTTTCACATGTCAAACCACCGGCAAGAGCAGAGCAGTGACTCTCCCCATCCTCCTTGCTGGCCCGGGTCTAGGTCCTCCAGCCTATCAGCCCTTACCCTTCACCCTAGGCCTACATCTCCAATTACATGCCTGGCCCTGGGATATCTGAAATCTGTAACCACCCTGATCAGCACATGCTCAGCCTATAGTAAGTGTTCAGTAATTATCTGCTGAAGGAGTGAATCAAACCCCCAAACAGGCAACATGCAGGGGAATCTCACAGATGAGCACATGAATGGATATCTGGCACCACTGAATGGACATAAGGCCAAGGGTGCCATAACCTCAGTGCACTTTGGAGGGGTCAAACCCATGGACCCACAGAACCTGTCCACCTGAAAGAGATTTCCTGGAAGTCCCACCAACCTTCACTTACACTGCATTGGCCAAAAGTATGTCATGTGAATAGTCCTAGTTCCAAAGCAGGTCAGGAAATGTTTTCATCTTGTCACATGTCACCGCAGCCCCAACAAGGATGTCAGGGCTCCAGTAGGAGAAAAGGATGGATCCTGGTTAAGTGACCCGCAGTTTCAACACCCAGATCATAGAAAAGAACAAGACCAGCACCTCCAAAGCCCTCTTGTGCCCCTTCCCTGTCAGTGTTTTCCCAAAGAATATTCACTCTTGAAACACAATGTTTCCTCCTCTTAGCTTCGTCTAAATAGATTCATACAAGGAATTCCCAGGCGGTCCAGTGGTTAGGACTCCACACCTTTCCTGCCAAAGGCCCAGGATCTATCCCTGGTCAGGGAGCTAAGATCCCACAAGCCATGTGGCATGGCTGAAATAAATAAATGAAGTCTAACAAGTGACTTATTAGTTAGCCTTGAGAAAACCAAGACTATTGGTGAGGGAATTAATCCACCGCTCCTCCTTGAGTTGGTTATCATTAACTACTCATCTGCCCTTCAACCATGAACAGTCAGGGGAAATGACCAGTTGAGTATAACAAGTATTCTTTCCCAGGGGAGAAATTAAAAATATTTTAAAAATCAGACCCAGGTGACCACCAAATGTTTGGACACAGAATGGAATGGCCATAGTGTTGGCCAGAGAAGGGTCTTCGGGCCCCACCCTCCCATGTAAGGAGGCCTTGGGCAGGGCAGTGAGCTGCTCGGAGAGGAGGCAGGATGACCAAGGCAGCAGGACTCTGAGGCTCCAGGGAGCAGATCTGTATCAGTCAGTGAGAATAAGCTCAGTGTTCCCCCCTCACCACAGAGTGCTGGCTGAAGGTTAGCGCTTTGTTGTTCAGCTGCTAAGTCACGTCTGAGTCTTTGTGACCCATAGACTGCAGCAAGCCAGGGTCCTCCGTCCTCCACTATCTCCTCGAGTTTTCTCAAATTTACCTCCATTGAGGCAGTGATGCTATCCAACATCTCATCCTCTGCTGCTCCCTTCTCCTGGCCTCAATCTTTCCCAGCATCAGGGTCCTTTCCAATGAGTGCTCTTCCCATCAGGTGGCAAAGAATTAGAGCTTCAGCATCAGCCCTTCCACTGAATAGTCAGGGTTGCTTTCCTTTAGGACTGACTGGTTTGATCTTCCTGTCCGAGGGACTCTCAAGAGTCTTCTCCAGCACTGCAATTCAAAAGCATCAGTTCCTCAGCACTCAGCCTTCTTTATGGTCCAACTCTCACACCCATACGTGACTACTGGAAAAACCATACCTTTGACTAGACAGACCTTTGTTGGCAAAGTGATGTCTCTTTTGCCAAAAGAGTATGAAGGTTGGGTGGCTTCTGGTGAAACTATGGCCACAAAATATCCTGGGCATCATATGGATCACTACAGTTCAAATGCAGTATCTCTTCACGAAGGTGAAACTGATCTGTCTCCTCACACATGGAAGCAGACATGATACTCGGCAGCACAGACCGCAGCCCTGGAGTTGGCATCTGATAACTGAACGGAGCCAAGCCGAACCATCATGGACATCAAAACAGCTAACCCTTATTTCCTTACGGTGGTCTTGCAAATAAAGCTTTCCTCATTTCCAGCTCACAATTCTTTTTAGCTGTCCCACCCCCGTTCCAAATCAAGGAGAGTTTAGACTTCATATAAAAATTTTAAAAAGTAAAAGCAGAATAGGGAAAGTTGGTTCAGGACTTAAAACCATTCTTCCAGAAATAGAAGCCCTAGATTCACTTCCAAACCCCAGTCCCTTGACAGCCTTGACTGCAGAGACCAGCAAAGTGACTTGCTCACTTCCCAGCCTCCTTTGTGAGGAGAGATGGCCATATGATCCAGTCTGGCCAGTAAGATCTGGGTGGAATTCAGTTGGAAGTGGGGGTGGTTTGGGGAAAGCTATTGCTTTTCTGATACAAAAGGACAGCTGCAGCTGGCTCTGGCCTTCCCCTTTCTTCCTGCCCTGACAGTGGGCGTGATGCCCGGAACCAGAGCTGCCATCTTGCAACCATGAAGGGGAGGCCAAGAGAATCAGCGATGCTGGCTCTGGACCTCACGAGCTGCTGAACAAATGCTAACAGCTGCCTGCTCCAGACTTTTTGTACCGTGAAAAAAATGGAAAACTCTGTTCTTTATGCTTGCTTACAGCAGGGAAGGCATTTCTAACTGACACAACTGTTATAAATCATTACTTGTCATAAACAGGCCAAAAACAACACAACAACAAAGATGGAGGGCCAGAGAAGATGTCCCAAGTTACTACCTGGGAAAATAGCTTTGGATGCTTGCTCTCAAAGCAAATAGGTATCCATTCCCACTAGGGTCAAGTCAAAACACAGAGAAGCCAACTTGAAAGGGCTTTCACTGGCCAAGGAGGGGACAATATGAGCAGCAAAAAAAACAGTGATTACCGTGGATTAAAATACTTTAAAAATGAAGAAAGGGAAATAACCAAGCATGCATCCTGCCTTCCTTGTCTGAACTGTATTTCAGAGAAACCAAACGCATGCTGGTGCTCAGTTGCTCAGTTGCTGCTCAGATGCTCAGTCATATCAGATTCTTTGCAACGCTATGGAATGTAGCCTGCCAGGCTCCTCTGTTCATGGAATTTCCCAGGCAAGAATACTGGAGTGGGTTGCCATCTCCTCCTCCAGGGGATCTTCCCGTCCCGGGGATCGAGCCCGTTTCTCTTATCTCCTGCATTGGCAGATAGTATCTTCCCCACTAGTGCCACCTGGAAGGCCTGAAGAAATGACAAGGAGAAGAATTCCAGCTGACAGAGACAGAAAGAAGGACAGAATTAGGAAACCACTGCTTTGGAATACGTGTTGAAATAAAGAATCTAGGCAACAACCATCAATAACTTAAGTAGGGACTTCCCCTGGTGGCCCAATGGCTAAGACTTTTTGCTCCCAATGCAGGGGGCCTGGGTTTGATCCCTGGTTAGGGAACTCTTTCCCACACGCCACAACTAAGAGTTCACATGCCACAACTAAAGATACTGCATGCCACAACCAAAAGATGCCACATGCTGCAACTAAGACCTGGAACAGCTGAATGAATGAATGAATGAATAAACAAATAAAATTAGATAAAAGGGTGACAGGGAATTTTGGACCATGCTGATAATACCTGAGCCCAAATTCATCAATTTTCACATCTCTAAAAATGGGACAATCAGCCTTGTGATGTAATACGCCAGAAAGTACACAGCATCTTCTGTGAAGTTTTCTAGAAAAAAAACAAACAACAACAAAAATACCACTTGAATCCAGTTTACAGGAAACAGAAGCACAAGTTAAATGACACCAGGAGGAAACCCACCAACCAAGTCCAGAATGTAGGCTATTCCAGTAGACAAATGACTCATTTCTCCCCCTCCTCAAGGGAATGGCCTTAAAAGAAAACGGGGATTTTTACAGCTGAATGAAACAACTGTAAAAATACGAGTTAATCAGGAAAATATGGTACAGTATGAGTATTACTTCCCATGATAATGGCATTGTGGTTATGTATTTTAAAAAAGTTCTTCTCTGATAGAATACTTGCTGAAATATTTATGGATGAAATGTAATAATGCCTGGAGTTTGCTTTAAAAATATTCCAGCAACAGCCAAACAAATGTTGTGTGTGGTGGAGCTGAGGGGAGAGTAGAGAGGAAACAGAATCAGGTGATCCCCAAAGGGGTTCATTGTAATTTTTCCTCCACTTAGCTATGGTTGAACATTTTGTATAAAGTGTTTTTTTTTAACTGATTACTTTAATTGGATTTTCCAGGATTCTAGATGCCAACAGCAACAGAAATGAGAAAGCAATTTAAAAAAAGAAAATCCTGTCAAAGTCCCTGAATTATGGTTCTTTCCTTCATGATGTTATTTTCATACTAGCTAAAACAAATGCTACAATCCCGAAACTGGAATATAAAGCAATGTCATGTGTCTGTACTTGAGAGCACAGTGTTTCTGGGGGTACTTAAGAGATGCTGTCCTACCCAACACCTGTGTTCTCATCCACCTGTGGGCTTCCCAAGGCTGCTTCCCCTCTCTCCTCGCATGTTCCCCAAAGCACTTTGCTTCTGTCACTGATGTTTAATAGCTCCTTCATTCTTTTCCATCAGTCTGTGAGCCATCCTCCCTCCCTCCCACTCTCAGTCAAGGACCAAGAAGCAATTCCCATTATTCTCTCTATAGTAGGCTGATATTAACACATAGTGCATGCGTGCGAGTAGGTGCTCAATCAGTATTTGGGGACTGTATGAACACAATCTAATCTGCTATGTTTTACACCTGTGGAGTCTGACACACCAAGGGTGGAAGTTTCTAGGCTAGGACTATGACATTTCAGAATCAGAACCATTCCTGAGAATTTACACCTTCTCATTCCTAACCCAAGGCTATTTCTGAATGTCATGGCTGATTCTAGAAGTCTTCCTCATTAGGAGCGGAGCCCCCCTCTACCAGTATTCAATGTGCCATTTCCAATGTTCCCCAAACCCCAATTCTCACAACAGATTCATCATGTGCTCTGCTGTGACACTTTTGTATCTTTCCAGAAGATATTACCCAAATCTGTTGTAGGCAGAAGGGACTGTAAGTAATTTTATAACACAGACAACAAGGTATTGTTACTCATCACTGCCACCACCACCACCATTCATGAAATCCTTAGCACCCATGCTTTCAGAGCTAGGAACTCTTTCCTTCAGTTCTCCCTTAGTTGATTCAGCTTTTAATTTGCTGAGTCAAGAAAAGGAAACCTGGAAATAGCTTCAGTGTTTCTTGAGTTTGGGCCCCAGTGTCATGGGGATACACTATGGCATGCATGGCAATCCATTCCCAACTGGAAATGACCACAGTTTTCTCTGAGCCTTGCTCCCCACTCTGAGCTAAGTCTTCGGCAAGAGGTCCGCACTCAGAGAGTCCACCTGGCCCATCTTCAGGAAGGCCCTTTTGTTTCTCTGATACTCCCCAGAGTACAAACCACAGTGATGGAAAGCCATCCAGACATCTGTTTCTCAGCCTTGTTGCTTACTTCAATGTCACAACCTCTGACCCCTCCCCTACCCCCAAACTAGATTGGGCAGACTTCTTTTATATATATATATATATTTTTTTTTAATTAATTGGCTTTATTTTTTTTGTAGCTACTTGGGGTTTCTTTTCACATTTTAAACTTTTTATTTCATATAGCTGATTAACAATGTTGTGGTAGTTTCAAGTGAACAGTGAAGGGAATCAGCCATACGTATGCATGTATCCATTCTTCCCCCAAACCACCTCCCACCCAGGCTGGCACATAACATTGAGTAGAGTTCCAAGTACTACACAATAGGTCCTTGCTGGTTATCCATTTTGAATGCGGCAGTGTGCACATGTGGGTGACCTTCTTTGTGTTCCCACAGCAAGTCACAGCTCATCTGACATGGTTCTTCCAACACACTTTTATAGTTTTTGCCCACCTTCACTGTAGCTAACAAGCTCTGCCAAGGTACAGACTGTTTTTCATCATAGTTGCCCCAGCACCTTGCACATGGTAACCCCTCCACAAACACTTGCTTCATGAATATACGAGTAATCCAACAAAAGCTTTTCAAGAGTCAAACGTTCAGCAATCGAGACTCTAAATTTAAACCATTTGACTTATTAAGGTGTTCAAGAGACACCTTTGGTCCTCAAGGTTTAACTTAAACTTAATGCTGAAAAGGGAGGAATCACCTATCTCTCAGAAAGTGACGGAAAGATTGGACAGACGTGGAATGGGTTCTGCAGGTACCCACCACACCTTCCCCTGTCACTTCTCTCTTTCTCTCGAGCCACCACCTCTGAAATGACCAGTGGAGGTTTTACTCTTCCTCCTCT